AAAACTTTTATATCCGATCCGCGATACCAGAACAGCTGTTTGCCTCTTCTGTCTTACGACAGATTGAGTGTTGAAAGAAAAAGAAGTGAGAAGACAAAGTCTGTTTGATATGATTAGAAACTTACGCATTGCGCCAGACTTTGCAGGGTCTGTCTCTTCATTGTTAAAAGGGTCAGCGCCAATCTTCTTAGGTAGACTAGCTTCTCCATCATCCTGAGCGACTTCCTGAAAGAGAAACGAAAGCACTGCAATTAGCTTATGGAACAGCACAAAAATAATTACGAAACAAAAAGGCTCTTGCGGAACACAACATAGCTACCAATACATGGTTTATTAGGTGCACAGAGATATATATACACACTGTATCAATCAGGAGCTCATATATGCAGGCTAAAAGGCTATAGCAAGCAACATACCCAATGAACCAAAAAATTAATGGATGGGTGCCTCCGCAGCAGATTATGAATTAAAGCAATGATGATAAGAGCTCCAGCTGGTGGCACTGAAAGGGCGAGTCTACTCAATCGTTTTGCAAATGAAGCGACAAGATATGCTTGAAGATAAGAAGATTTCAGACAAGCATCCAGAAGCTGCAAGAAAACAAGTCAAACACAAAGTCATAATAAATACTCCCTCCGTCCCAAAATAAGTGTCTCAACTTTGTACTAGCTCTAGTATAAACTTGTACTAAGCTCAAGACACTTATTTTGGGACGGAGGGAGTAGATAACAATAAAAAAGAATAAACTGCAATCTGGCATATTCATAAGAATAAGCAACAAAAGAAAGACGTTTGTTTGTTCAATCCCTGAAATAAGAGTTGATATCATATTCAGATTCATGGCTGGAAGATTGATAATTCAGAGTTCAAACATGGTTAATAGTGATCCGCTGATATGATCCACTCACTGCCACAGGCTTGTCACTTGCACAAGATTAAAGGAGTATTGTAATCTATATTTGTTTTCCATCTACTGTTATGGACTTGTCTTCAATGGGTGAAGCAATGGCTGGACAAAATAGATGGGTTACAAAGAAATGTCGAAGTGGCATCACATAGCCTCATTGTTTACGTGCATACAAATAACCTTAAGGTATATTCAAGTTTGGCAGACTACAGGATTCATGGTTATAACCAACCTAACAAAGTAACAAGTCTAATCTAATATATAATGTACATTACTTTTTAAACAGCATGCTAAACTTGTCGTTTTTTGGTTAAACATGACATCAACATGATGCATTCCTCAGCATTCCGCTCACAAATACTCCCTCCGTCCCAAAATAAGTGTCTCAAATTTAGTACAACTTTAACTTAGACACTTATTTTGGGACGGAGGGAGTAGTTGATAAGCAGAAGTAACAAAACTTGGCTTTGCTAGACTTGGCTCTGGAACAGCATTCAAAAGATGCCAAGGTGTGCATGGCTAGACAGCACTAGTACGATCATGAATGAAAATGTTAACGTGAAATGGATCCATAGCTTGGATGACTGGCAGTCCTTCGAAAACCCCTTTTAGTTTATAGAACTTAATACAAGCTAAAGTATGGCAATATTCATTCATAGTGTAACCATAATATTACATTTATATTTACTGAGAGCTACTTACTTGCAAGAACACTGACCGATGTTTTGCCATGAACACAGCAGGAGTAAGTAATGCATAGAGCTTATCATAGAATTTTGGATATTCAAGCTGATGCTGTGTCATAAGGATGAATAGACCACTTAAGGCCATCACACTGATAACACCGCCAATGTCGTATGATGTAGTCAAGAAATCACTTCAACAGGAAAAACAATTATGAAGGTGTGAGATACCACATCAAACAAAGTACAGATAACAAAATGGACATAAACAACCTACCACAAGATGGCTGGGTTTGACATTGAAGGAATAACATTCTGATGAAGTGTAGCAAGGACCTGCAGATTACAAACTGTCACTCGAGATACACAACTAACATCGGTAATTCAAGCATTTTTATAAAAACTAGGAAATAAAACCAATTATCTTAACAACAATGGTAAACTACAGATTATTTCATAATCCTAAGTGGCTACACAGTTCTTGTAGTATAATAAATTCCCCTTGCATAGTAGACTGCATGTAAACATGGTCATAGTTTTACAAGAAAAAAGGAGTCAGGAAATCACAAACAACAATTTGTAAATTAAGGTGCAACACATATAATCATTCATAGATAGTTCAAGAAGAAGCAATTGAGAAATTATTACTTCTCAGATATTGAGAATAACGAAAGATAGCTTTACCTCCTTGTAGACATCAAGTGGAAGTGGTAGCTTGAGAAAGGCCAGCCATGCTTTGGTGAACTTCAATTTTAACTTTTTGCTTATACGCGTAGCAGAGGAGCCCTGCAACACTCAAAAGCTTAATCACTAGAAACTTGTGAGTCCATTTTACTTCATAAAGTGTATGGAAGTACCTCAGAGGTGTCCTTCTCTCCTTTTGAAGAAAGGCCTTCACAAACACAAAAGGTCAGAACAAAAACACACTAACAAAAATGAACGTAAATACATAAGAGGCAAGTGAACTAACAAAATCTTAAGGAAAAAGGAAAATCGAAAATGGGGGGGAGAGGCGGAGAAGATCATAAAAAGTTTTTAAAAATAACACAAATATTATTGAAGACTAGAGGAAGATCATTCCTACAGGATTAGCCAGAAAATACATACCAACAGTACTCCACATATCAAACTTTGATTCCTTCTTAAAATCCAACGCGGGAATATGCACCAAAATATTGTATACATTGCGTACACAGACAGCACTCCTGTTAAAGCAAGAATGAGAAGAGCATAAAAAACAGAACTAAAATAGCTGTTCGAACTTCAAAATTTGAAGGTACCAACATACTACAAACAATCGCTTGAAAGCTTTGTATGGAATAAGCCTACAAACAATTATGACCAATTCACACCATATATAATGTACTGCAACTCTGCAAATGACTTTGCAGGGATAAAGGTAGAACATGGTACACAATCAACATTAATGCTAAATCATATCACTGCAGAAACGCAAGCATGATATGAGAACAACAAACACAGTATATGTTCTTGCAACCATGTGAGTAGTCTATAATCAAGGTGTCGGAACTGGAGTCTGAAACATCGTAAGGTACAACTATAAAAGCTTGACTTTCCAGGTTATCCTTGTTCTTTTACAAGAAAACATGATCAGTATTGGGTGAGCCCGCAATTGCAACATATCGGTAGACAGGATAGCATGTGTTTAGACCTTAAGGTAGGAAAAAAAAGTGTGCCTACGGAAATGTCCAACAATACAATCTTAGTTGGTTCACGAAGTTGCATTAACACGCTTATATCAATGTTCAGGATTTAAAATATGCGTGCATAAAAACCCGAAGTATACCTGTCTTCAGCCCCGTCATCCCCATTCTGCAAGACATCTTTTCCAGAGCCTGGTTAAAAAAAGGGCAACTTAACCACATAGTAGGAAGTTACGTGTGGCAAATCAAACTACGCATAGCAAGAGATATTACCAGTGGTTTGACTGCCCAGACTGTTGGCGATCTTATCTAAGCTAGTATAAGTAAAAAAACTGCAGGAGAAATTGGAGAAAAATAAGTGCATTGCAAAATCATACTATAAAAATATCTTGGGTATTCCACCAAGTTAGCAATACCGCCAGCTCTATGCAATTGAAGTTCTTAGGGAAACAAGTTTTTCAAGGATCTGGTAATCAAATACACAAGAAATAATTGAAAGAGTGGTCGCCAGTCACCACATACCAAACATCAGCATACTTAGCGTACTTGGACCCAAGCAACTCTAGAACATCATCAATTGAATTCGTAGCATGAACCTGAAAATAATTTGAAACCCATAAAAGAGCAGACACTAGACGCTACTTCTGGCTGCAGGAAGCACGTTACTAGGCAGGAAAACTCACCACAGCGTGGAGAAACTTGTGGTAAATTGCCGAGTGGAAGCTCCCGTCCTTCCCCAGCTTCACGAAATCCATGAACGCATCAAGCGCCACCTCCTGCCATGAACAAAGGTGTATACTAACTTTGCCAATTCACCATCGCCGAACACACAAATGAATAGTTATAACTGCCCCAAACTCACCCTGATCGCCTCGTCGCTGTCCGGCGACACGCTGAGCTCCACGAGCGCCGCAACGAACTCCTCGAAGCGCTGCCGCAGCCACGCCCCAAACACGAGCTCGGGGTCATCGCTCGCACCTCCTGTGGCGGCGGCTGCGGCGGAGGCGGAGGGGATGGAGGGGAGCAGGGGCTCGAAGAAGGACTGGAGCGAGATGAGCGCCTCGAGGGCGATGCTGAGCGGCGCGGTGGGGGAGAGGAGCGCGAGGAGGGTGGGGGCGTGGTTGAGGTGGGCGCGCGAGGAGAGGAGCTCCAGGCCGAGCGCCTTCACCTCCTCGTGGGTGAGGGCCCCGGATTTAGACTTCCGCTTCTTAGTGCCCGACGCCGTCGCTGTCGCTGACGATGATTTCGCCATGGCAGCAGGGGGCGGCGGCGGCAATGCGGGGGAAGAGGGTGCGGCGAGGTCTGATGGGTTGGACCTGGGTTCTGGGGTTTATTGATGGGCAAGACTGGCAGGCTGGTCTCACTTGTCAGTTCGGCCCATACACAACAAGCTGAGCGGACCTACCGCCTACGCTTTTTGCTGTATGGCCCGTGCCAGGAAGCCCAATATTACAGAGCTCTCCAACAATTTCTCTCTAAAACTGGTTCTTGTCCTAAAAAAAACTAAAACTGGTCCTTGTCCTAAAAAAAACTAAAACTGGTTCTTGTCCTAAAAAAAACTAAAACTGATCCAAGTATAGGCAGAATGTTAACTTTTTTATTTATTTATAGAATATATGCAAAAAGTAATTTTGCTAAGAAATATGAAAATCCATGTCAAAAAATACATATATGCAAATCATTTGCTTGGATGGCATCCTTTTTCCAACACAAACCCCGGGCACAACTACAGCTGCCGTCTACTACTAACACTACTGATGATGCCCAGCATCATGAGTTCAAAATAGGAAAGTAACTGCATTTGAGGGTCGCCAGAAAGTACCTGAAGTCAATCAAAATATTGAGAAGCGCATACATCATTTCATGTCTAATATAAAAACCCGATGACAATACACAGAAAAAACGAGTTGTTTTCTGTGATCTGTCTCTCATCTCAGCAGGCATGCTCGTTCCTTTTTCGAAAGATAAACATGATCATTCAAGGAAGTTATGTTTCATCCATAAAGAGGTCAGCACATATCCGATTAACTACGACATCAAATTCTAATTACATCAAATTGAAGTTGGTAAAGTATGGGGGGAAACACTAATGAAGTTAGTAGCCCGACCTTCCAGTTAGTTCTTTGATGAAAATGTGGAGAACACCTTATGCATGCTCCACTGTTCTCATTTCCTTTTGTGTTCCATAAGCATGGATTTTTATTAGTTTAGCGAAGAAAGGCTGCAGAACAAACAATTAAAATGATTAGATGCAACACTACCAGAACAAAAATATGCCGACTAGAAAGTTGCAAACACATGAACCGACAAAATTTCATCCAATCACATTTCTTACTAACACAGTCTTCACGTCACTGTTGGACATAATACCTGCAATTTTGTGGCACCCTCCAGGACAATGTCAACAATCTTTTCAAGCTTGGAGGCAGTGACAAATAGTTCTTCCAATCTTCCATCATAATCCTTAGATCATGAATCTTGCTCCGCAAACCGATGCAACAGTTAGCATGCATAGTGCAGACCTTATTTAAATCTCTGCTTGGTTCACAGAATCCACCAAAGTATGCTGTACTTAAAAACTTAATTTCCAGCCCAATGTCTGCGACATATGGATCATGCTTAATAGCATTGAAGACATCCTGATCGTGGTAGCCAGGATATCTCAATCGTGATGAGTACCAGAAACTGTAGAACTCTATGGTCCGTTCATTCGATTTCACATAATTGAAGCCTCCATTAGCAATGTTTCTCAAGTCTGTTGCATTCCCAACATAGTGGTCGCAAGCAATCTGAAGGTCACCATTAGGATAGAAGTGAGGAAATGGATTGCGAAACCACATTATGTCTGCATCCTGAAATGTAATGAAAATGAAAGATAGATGAACTAAACCTGACAAGCGTGTTTCACAGAAGGAAAAAGATCACTATACTCCATCATGGGCAACAAGGCTGAATCTATCTCTGTAAAAAAGGTCAAGATGACTGAGTAATTTACCGAGAATATGAAGCTGTAGCCCTTTTCAAGAACCAGCCGCAAGAAATCTAGTCTTTTCCACATCATCTCCAGATACCCAGAAGTCAAGAACCTCTTCTCTTCAGAAAAATCCACACCTTCAGTTCCAAGAGCAAAGCAATAGTGGTGGATCTTGGCACATTGTCTGTACGCATCCCCATCAAACGCTATAATGACTAGATGGTTCAAGAGTGAACTTGTTCTAACACCAGAGCGAAAACTATCAACAAATAGATCTATCACCGAGCCAGGAGAAGCCCATGCAGCATTAAGTGTAGTCAATATAACTGTGTTGTCCTTCATTGAAGCCTTCTGCAAAACTCGGTCAAGTTCGAGATCCTCACTGTCCTAGAAAGGATGGATATTAATTGAAGACCAATAAGTAAACTGAAGAAGCTATCTGATTAAGCATAAATATGCATAACCCAGCAGATTAAACATGAAAAGAAATATGGGTCTTCTAAAGAAGTACATAGGTGGCAACAAATGATGAAACAGGCAGCTAAAATAGAACTTAAGGTAGCCTTGATTGTTATCAAATGATAAATAATAAACATCGCGGTTGCTTCTCACAAGTATTCCTATACTCCTATTACGTGAATAGCCTCATGTTATTCACCATAGTAAGCATTCATGTGAACAATCAACATCTGTAATCAGTTGGGAGCCATGGCAAGCGAAACTAAGTGCTAGTGTGTAAGATGCACCACTATGTCGTTTCTGAAGTCTGAACTTTCTGGCATGTCCAAATTACAGCGCCATCCCAATTGCTAAATATTAATCAACTTCTTCAGCGAAGTTCCAAAAGCTATCTACAAATTAATGTCATCCCAAGATAGATACTAATTGGGCTTTCAGTGAAAGTGACTCGGAAGTTAAAGAAATAGACTGCAGTGCACCAACTGATGTGTACTGTATCTTATTCTCATCACATCTAAGACGTCCAGGTGGACAGAACTGCTCCAACCCAAGGCAAATTCTCCAAGACCACGCACAGATGACGCAACCGCACATCGTAATTGTGTAAGGACTTGAAGGATTCCACAAAGTATTTCATTATGGACTGACAACTCTCGTTTAGAGTACATCACTGGACACAGGATAGCATAATCCAAGTCAAACACCGCACTGCAATTAGTAATCCCGTAGCTACATGGCGAAGCAGAAATGCCCAAATTATCCAGCATTCCTCATGATTTAACAGTGGATACAATACAACTACCGCACCGAATACTGGGGGGACTGGTCCAAGAGGGATGAGGCGGACTGACCAGATCATCACCTTGGGCGCTCTCCTCGTCGTCTGCGGCGAGCGAAGGATCTCCTCGTCGTCTGCGGCGAGCGAAGGAAGCGGGTACCGCCCCCACGGGTCCTCAAGCGAGTGCCGCGAGACGGCGGCGCGGTGCAGCACGGCCAAGGGCAGCGCGACGCCGACGAGGGTTACAAAAAAGAGCGCCGCAGCGAGTCGCGGGAGCGCGCGTTTCGGGATCCCGCGAGGGTGGGCGGACGGCGTGGTCAGGGTGTGGCGCGTAGGCTTCGCCATGCCGGAATGGCTGTGGCGGTGGCGGTGGCGTGGGTAGTTGCCGCAGCGGCAGAATGGACACTGGTGCACGGACGAGTCGGAGACTGGAAGGCGTAAACGTAAAGTGCGCCGATGTTGTTTGAAAGCGGACCGGGCTGGTTTTGTGAAAGAAGAGAACCGGACCAAAATTTGGAAGATGCGTTTGCTTGGATTCTGAGCCTTTGGTCTCGATTATTCGGCAGAATTAAATTTGCATCTTATAAAGACAGAATTCATAAACTATGAAAAAAAAATAGTTTGGTTTAGCGACTAAAGTCTTAGCATGTGATCCCACTTCTCAAAACCACAACCTTATCTCTCTACGTTGCTCTTCAAAATACACAAATGACACATTTTCGTGCTTAGTTTTGCTCACTGTAACTTGATGATTAGCATGGTGTTGTAATGTAGGATGTAGCTATGTCAGTATATTACTATGCGACTTCTTTCACGTTGCGAGAAAATTGCAAAAGGTAGTTCAATATTACAATGTAAGCACGTCTAAGGTTTAGTTGTAATTCTAAGCATATACAGTTGTGCCAAGTAAAGACCATTTAAAATGGAAGAAAATAGAGACTCGTGCGCTTAAATTAATATGAACTTACTTCGCAAGGCTTAAGGACAACACCTTAAAGATCGTCCTCATGTCTTCAACATCTCTTGCCAAAGTGTAACGTCAAGAATATTCTTACCATCGATGAGATCAGTTTCTTCAATAGGCACATCAACCACTTACATTAGTTCTTCTCCCTTTTATCGCAAGTCCAGTGGGTCATGCTTTGTTTGGAGACTGCTAACTCCATATGTTGGAAATTATGTGCTAGAACATGCTCTGTTGCCTTAGCCTATGAACTGACTAGGGGTTGTGTCAATATCCTTCAGCCACACTATTTTGAAAAGCTTGAGCAGCCTCTAATTGCAAAAAAAACTTTGGAAACAAGTTTGGACTGTGAAGCACCAGGAGAAACAAGGTTGGAATGATTGTGGCTTATGCCCGCTATTCACATTGTACCTCCTCTTCCAATGTATTTGGATTATACCCTTGGGACTAGCAAGTCTTGATCTGTCACTATAGCAAACCTATGTGGTGTATGGCTTATATGTAGCAATTTACATAACCATGTATACATGATCAACCGAGCAACCCATTTGGTTGTTAGAGCTTAGTTATTGATAACTCTACAACATATTAAATCTATCAAAAATTTAGGAACATGTTTTCTTATTATTAGGAGCCCGGATGTGTTGCAATGAAAGCCAAGAGATCCGCAGTTTCATCATATGCACATGACAAAGCATTAACACTCTTCGGGGCTACACTGACCGTAGCAACACAGACTATTTTCATATACCAAAACCATAGTCATTTAACGTACTTTTTTATTTTTGCCCATCCATACTCTGGTTAGAAAATAGTAATTATCCTAAGTCTATTTTTTCGTTGAAATTTCTAAGGTTTACATATTGGTATTCCCTTTTTTATTTGTTTGTATAGAGCAAATAGGAGATGTTAGTGTTAACCGCCTTTGTATATTCGTCCTTTCTCTACCTGCTAGCTCAGAGGTATGGCAATTTAATGTCTAACTGGCAGTTTAAATATCATAAGGAGCAACGTTGTATTACAAATATTGATGGAGCCAGGGTGGAGTATTGATGGAAGTGACAATGATATTTCTATATGTTATATGAATGAGTCCAGAGATTTGAAGATTTAGTTTGTGGTGGTTTTTGATATAATACATCAACATCAAAGCTCACAATCATTACGGAGTATGCTCATCCATTACCTTACTAAAGGAACAAAAGAGGTCATAATTCATTTCTTCTTAGTTACAACTTCTAGTTGAGAGTAGCCTAGGGTAAGCTCTTTCAATTTGGAGTTTTTCATTTGCTAAACCTTCCATGTTATTAGCTTGAGGAGAGTCAAGTCAGAATATGACTAGCCTAACCCACGCGGCGACACGCTGCGCTCGATGATCACTCGCAAGCGTGCAATCTATTGATTCGAGAGTGAATCAGTGCATGCTCATTTAATCTCAGAACAATATATAGAGACATTCAAGAAACCGAACATATGAAGCTATTGAATTTTTTGCAAATGTAGGGATACAAAGATACAAATTAAAAGTGGCACACTTCTGAGGCAACCCAATTATTCAAACTACATACAGTTCACTGTAGGCATAGAACTGTATATAGAAACACAAACACACTACATAAATGAGCTAGAAGTAGTTGCTGGTGGATTAGATCATCCTAGTATATCCTCTTGCAAGATTGGTGCCTGTGATAAAGTGATAAAGTGATTTTGCAAATTTCTAAAAACGTCCGACGGGAGGATGCATGCCTGTGTATGTGATAATGGGATCGTCATTGTCTGGGCGCTGGGGATACATGCAAAGTGGTAATATATCAAAGAAGTTGTTGCATATCTTTGCAAGAATCATTGTTTGTCTTGTAAACTCGTTTTGTTGTGTCGTTACTTGCTGGCGGGCCATATTATGCCTTCTTAGATCATCAAAGCTAGTTGCACCAGGAACAACCTTAAGTAACATCTGAAGGAAGAATAGCTCGCTAGTACCAGGATGGACATGATAAATACGTCCAATCTTACTACCCATTTTTTGTTAACCTTCCGCTTGGTTCACACCTTACTACCTTTATTCCAAACCCATTCACTCGGGAAATCAAGGTATGTTAAAGACCTAGTAGACACATGCTTTCGATTAGCAACAAACCACTAAGTGAGCATAGTTTTAGTTGTCGAAATTCTCTAGAACATGTCCTAAACTATCAGTCTCCGCAAATATGACCCTATTCATGTTAGGCAAATGAACAACCAGCCGCTCGACGGAAGGCTGACGTGTTGGGAACGTAGTATTTCAAAACAATTACCTACAATCACGCAAGATCTATCTATGTGATGCATAGCAACGAGCGGGAGAGTGTGTCCACGTACCCTCGTAGACCGAAAGCGGAAGCGTTAAGTAACGCGGTTGATGTAGTCGAACGTCTCCGCGATCCAACCGATCAAGTACCGAATGCACGGCACCTCCGCGATCTGCACACGTTCAGCTCGGTGATGTCCCTCGAACTCTTGATTCAGCTGAGGCCGAGGGAGAGTTTCGTTAGCACGACGGCGTGGTGACGGTGATGATGATGTAATCAGTGCAGGGCTTCGCCTAAGCACTACGTGAATATGACCGGAGGCGTAAACTGTGGAGGGGGGTGCCGCACACGGCTAACAATGTTTGTTGTGTGTTCTAGGAGCCCCCTCCCCACGTATATATAGGTGGGAGGGGGAGGGGAGCAGCAAGGGTGCGCCCAAGTAGGAGGAATCCTACTTGGGGGCCTTGTCCAATTCGGCCTCCCCCCTTTCCAAAAGTGTTGGAGGGGGAAGGAAAGAGAGGGGGAGAAGGGAAGGGGAGGCTGAATCCTCCTCTTTCATTTCTCTCTTCCCCTCCTTCCTTCTCCTCCTATTTGGCATATATGGGGCGCACCAGCCCACTAGGGGCTGGTCTGTCCCGCCCTTGGCCCAATAAGGCCCATATCTTTGCAGGGGGGTGCCCGCAACCCCTTCGGATGACCCGATACATACCCGGTACCCCCAGAACACTTCTGGTGTCCGAATACTATCGTCATATATATGAATCTTTACCTCTCGACCATTTCGAGACTCCTCATCATGTCTGTGATCTCATCCAGAACTCCGAACAACATTCGGTCACCAAATCACATAACTCATATAATACAAATCGCCATCGAATGTTAAGCGTGCGGACCCTACGGGTTCGAGAACTATGTAGACATGAACGAGACACATATCCGATAAGTAACCAATAGCGGAACTTGGATGCTCATATTGGATCCTACATATTCTATGAAGATCTTTATCGGTCAAACCGCATAACAACATACGTTACTCCCTTTGTCATGGGTATGTTACTTGCCCGAGATTCGATCGTCGGTATCAACATACCTAGTTCAATCTCGATATCGGCAAGTCTCTTTCCTCGTTATGTAATGCATCATCCCGCAACTAACTCATTAGTCACATTGCTTGCAAGGCTTATAGTGATGTGCATTACCGAGAGGGCCCAGAGATACCTCTCCGATACATGGAGTGACAAATCCTAATCTTGATGTATGCCAACCCAACAAACACCTTCAAAGACACCTATAGAGCATATTTATAATCACCCAGTTATGTTGCGATGTTCGATAACACACAAAGGTGTTCCTCCGGTATTCGGGAGTTGCATAATCTCATAGTCAAAGGAACACATATAAGTCACGAAGAAAGCAATAGCAATAGAACTAAACGATCAATATGCTATGCTAACGGATGGGTCTTGTCGGTGTCAAAACCGATGGATCTCGGGTAGGGGGTCCCGAACTGTGCGTCTAGGCGGATGGTAACAGGAGACAAGGGACACGATGTTTTTACCCAGGTTCGGGCCCTCTCGATGGAGGTAAAACCCTACTCCTGCTTTATTAATATTGATGATATGGGTAGTACAAGAGTAGATCTACCACGAGATCAGAGAGGCTAAACCCTAGAAGCTAGCCTATGGTATGATTGTTGTTCGTCCTATGGACTAAATCTCTCCGGTTTATATAGACACCGGAGAGGGCTAGGGTTACACAGAGTCGGTTACAATGGGAGGAGATCTACATATCGTATCACCAAGCTTGCCTTCCACGCCAAGGAAAGTCCTATCCGGACACGGGACGAAGTCTTCAATCTTGTATCTTCATAGTCCGAGAGTCCGGCCAAAGGTCATAGTCCGGCCCTCCGGACACCCCCTAATCCAGGACTCCCTCAGTAGCCCCTGAACCAGGCTTCAATGACGATGAGTCCGGCGCGCAAATTGTCTTCGGCATTGCAAGGCGGGTTCCTCCTCCGAATACTTCATAGAAGATGTTGAACACAAGGATAGTGTCCAGCTCTGCAAAATAGTTTCCACATACCACCGTAGAGA